AGGAACGACACGGGACGACGACCCTAGGGCTCGAACTACCAACCTGTCAGTTCACCACGAGATGCTTAAGCATTGCACCACCAGGAGTCCTTTAGAAGGACCCTCCCACAGAGGTCTCACCAACCTCATTGAAGACAGGCAAACAGAGGAATCCAAAAGACTCACTCACCTGCTTCAACCCCACCACAAGGAAACAGCCAGAGGCTGGACTCCAGGGAGAGCCCGCTGGCCCCAGGACATATCCCCTGGCGCTCCACCACTTACCTCAAATTCTCGGATGTACGGCGCAATGCCACAGTAAGGTTGATTGTGGTGTTTTTCATGTGGCAGTTTCTCCAGGGGTGGCAGGTATGGGATGGGGTCACGGGGGGCAAACAGGGCCAGAAGGTTGGGCGGCAGGAACTGGGTCATCTTGCCAAGTCTGAAGGCAGAACCGGAACCAGTTAGGGGGGCGGGGGCTGGCCCCCTCTGGAAGCCACTGACTCCCAGGAGAAAAGAAGGACCCAAGAGATGAGGTCCTAGGTGTTAACAAACAACGGCTCTGAAAGGGCACGGGGCCCTCAGTGGCAGGCCACAGGGGTGAATCTCAAAAGAGTTGTTCTCCGAGAGCTGCGAGAAACAGATGGGAACAGCTTTCAGACTGAAACCGCTGGAGTCCTGGGAGTCTCGAAAAGATCCCCGGTGGATCAGGGGCAACCGAGGCTCCAGAGTCCCGGGGCCGCGGCGGCAGGTGGTCCCAGTGCCGCGCAAACCACGTTATGGAGTAGGAGTCGCCGGGTGCCGGAAGTCTCCAATGAATGGGTCGGGGTGCCTAGGCAGCAAACCCCTCAAACCAAAGGCTTGTGGGTAATAGGTCGGATTCCACCCCCCACCCCCCAGGGCGAAAGGAATTATGGGTAGGGGTCCAGGGCGATGCAGACGGGGGGGGGGGAGCAACGCACCGCAAGGGCTTGTGGGTAGGGGACCGCAGGAGGTTGAGAGAAAAGGGCCCGAAAACTCCAAGCACGCGGGCGAAGGGCCGCAGAGAAAGAATTGTGCTGTGGTGGGGGCGCCGGGCGGGGGGTCTGGGGGCGAGGAGCGGGGCTGAGGCCCACCGCGCGGACTTGTGGGTAGCGGTCCCGTTCCCGGTAAGCCAGTCACTTACGCGCCGCGCGGCGCCCTCCTCGGCCAGGCGTCGGTCCGGGGGCTCGCGGCGGCCCCTCAGCAGCAAAGACTGCCGCTCTGGCTTCTACTCCGCCGGCGTCTACGTCCGTCGGCCTCCTTGGTCGGCCCAGCGCGCGCACCAGGCCGCTGCTCACAAACCCGCGCGGCCTCGGCTCGCGACGGGAATGAGGGGCTCAGCCCGTCGTCAGATCACTCCGCTGTCCGCACTGCGCACGCGCCGCGCGCACGGCCTGTGGCCCAGTCCCGCCGAAGGGGGCGGCGCATGCGCAGAAACGCCCGTCCGTTTGGCCACTCCAGCTTGCGGAACTCACTGCGCACGCGCCCCGCACCTGCGACCAACCTACCCCCAACACCCCCACCTCCCGTTCTCTGCCCTAACCGCCGCCGTCCGCGAGACTTTGCCCCCGATGCCCCGCCCCTTTTTCTAACACACTTCCGGGATTTACGCGCATGCGTGTTGATCACGCATTGTATGTACCCTTCCGCCGCTAGGTAAAGAGTCCATACGTGCGTACCGATTAGGTTGACGTCCAGTACATTCGATCCTTAACGGGTTTTAGAGTCCCGAGTGCGTTCAGGCCACTGTTTGGGGCGCTGAGGATGATAGCATGTGACGGACTATAAAGTCTTCTCCTTCAAAAAAAAAAAAAAAGTCTTCTCCTTCATAGAGCTTGCATTCTATGCGGATAAACAATAGACATTTAAATAAGTAACAGTTTCAGATAGCGACTGGCACAATGAAGAAAAATATTCAGGGTATAAGAATAGGAGATGAAAAAATAATAATAAAAAAGAAAGAATAGGAGATGAGAGCTGAGCTGATTTAGAAAAGGTGATAATGGAAGGCCGCGAGGAAGAGATTTTTTTTTTTTTTTTTTGAGGAAGAGATACTTGATATAAAAGCCAAACGGGAAACACACACACACTGCAGATTTCTTGACAGTGTTAATTGTTAAAATATTTTTTCTGGCATTTGATTCAGTATAAAAATCAATATTAACTTTAAAAAGCATAAATTTGAACAAAAGCATCAACCTTTTCAGAGAGCTGGGCACAGTCAACAGCCAGTGCTCTGGGAAGTCCCTGTTCAAATCCACCCAGAGCCTGGGGGGTATGGGGGTGTCCTGTGGATCTATTTCTAAAAAATCAGCCATTGAGAATCTTACTGGGCACACTCCTACTCTGACACACATGGGTGGCCACAAGTCAGAATCACATCTAAGACATCTGGTTTTCTGTTGAAAAAGTCCCAAGTTGAGACCAGATGGCAGGAACCATATGTTACCCAGGAGGTGGTCTTATTTAGAGCCCTTTAGACTTCTAATGAGTTAAGTATGGTATGTTAAGCTTTGAGGGTGAATTCAATTGTTTCATAATAATTACAGAGATGATTACATCTTAATTCCTATTTCATGTCTCAAGAATATGTAATCTAAGAGCACGTAGTAAAAATAGATATATATTTTTGACAAATTTGCTTTATTTGGGTGCGGAAGTACATTTCCCTTCCCCTCCAGGACAAATGGAAGGAGATTGTAGCAGCACTTCATCCCTAATTGCCTCAGCATGCATTTCCCAAGAAAAAGAACAGATTTTCCCCCCCATAATGACAAAATCATTTTCACTCCCTTCAAAGTTTATCCATCCCCTATTCCAATTTCTCCAACTGCGTGAATAATTTGGGAGGATCAGCACGAAGCTTGCTCCTGTAAGAGAGCTTAAAGTGTTCCCACATGTCTGATTTTTGCATGCTCCTGTGCTACTCCATCCTCTCTAACATCCACAACTGCTCCGGTCTCTGTATTCTCCCTCCCGTCTCTAGGTTCCATAATCCACTGCAACATTTCTTACAGAATGTTCATACATCATCAAAGAACTGGCTCAGGCCGTTGTGGAGCTCGGCGAGTCCCAAATCCGTGTTGTTATCCCCATTCTAGAGACTTCTTGAGACTTGTGTGGTTGCTGGCGTGGAGGAACCCAAATAAGCAGGTCAGACGATGGGCTGCTGGGTTACTAGGCTGCAGAAACTGCTGGATCAGGTCTGACGACAGGCTGCTGGCACCAGTTGCAAGAAGCAGGGGCCAGGTGATACTGAATCAGATGCAAGATCCAGAGTGAAAAAGGAGAATGTTGCCTGAGTACTCGTATGTATTAGATGCAGATCATACCGCCAATGAAACTTACTTTACTAGAGTAAGGCAGTACAAGTGTGTGAAAGGAGGTGATTGGAGCAAGATACATCCTACCCTAATCCTGTCTCATTAATGTAACACACAACTCACTTCCATAACCGCAGGTGCAGAATCACACCATAAAATAGAGAAGCATTAGATCATCATAATATAACTGCCAAATTCCATAACCACCAAATCCCACAGACTCGAAACCATCACAAAATTCCATCCACCTTAGTTACACTCGTATCCCACTGTCCAGTCACCTTGCTGATCCAGAAATACCTTATGAGAGGGCCTTCCAAAAGTTCATGGAGAAATAGAAAGAAAAGATCATGGGATATTTCCGTGAATTTCTGAAGCACGCCTCGTATTTGAATAGAGCCCCTCGGATCCACAGTTAACACTCATGGAGGCAACGGTCCAGAAATCAGACTACGTATTGCCTTGGGTGAAACTGCTGCAATAGATCCCTATCCAGTGTTAAAGAGCTACAGTGTCACTTTGAAGGCTAAGGTGTGCCTGACACAACCAGGGTGTTCGCCAGCCCCTCTTCGGTGTGGGAGAGCTGGACAGTGACGAAGGGAGACCACAAACGAACTGATACATTTGAACGACGATGCTGGTGAGGAAACTCACCAGTGCCTTCGAGTTTCCTGGGGACTGCCAGACGCATGAAACAAATCTCTGTTGGAGAGAGTAGAGCCAGGATGCTCTTCAGAAGCAAGATGGCCAAACCTGTGGCACATGCTTTGGACATGTTGTCAGGAAAGATCAGTCCCTGCAGACGGACATCATGTACAGGAGGGGGTCAGCACAAAAGAGGGAGGCCCATGTGTGAGGCTGGGTTGACTAGAGAAACAAATCCAGAGACACTCATATCGGTATAAGAAAGAGCTTTCTATCAAGAAGTAATTGTATATCGGGAGAACATCCTAGCCCAGTGCCCATCAAGGGCCATGAGTCCACGAACAGTCCCTAAGGCTGATACTAGTCCACAAGTCCCTCTTCAGACTCCTACAGCCACATGCAATGATGCAGAATGCAGGAAGCTCACAGGCTGGTGGGTGCTCTTGTGGATCCATCACAGAGCTCTCCCAAGGCTCAGCGCGGCTCGGCTCGTCATTAGGACGGTGAAGGCAGAGGGAGGGGGTGGTAGGTTCCCAGGACCCTCCTTATGAGGCGGTTACGCCCACAAGGAAGGAGGCACCATCTGGCTGTGGCCTGATTGACAGGCTAGACTCCACCCCTATACTTTTCTATTTACAAGTTGACACTAAATTGGGTACCTACCACAACCCACAAGATGAATCGACACCGGGGCTGCATCAGTGGGCTCAAACGTAACAATAGTGAGGTTAGCGTAGGAGCATATGGGACTTCATTTGGTTGCACCGAGGGTAGAGGGTTGCTCTGAGTAAGAACTGACTCGATAGGACCCAGCCACAAAACAGCACCCAATCATCACATGGATGTCACAAAGACTGCGGCTGAAAGTGTCATGTTACGGGAATGCCCTGTAATA